TTAAAGAGTTCCATGAAGTAGAGTAGTAGAAAGTGTTTTGCAAGTCGATCAATTTGAGTGGAATTGAAGCTCAGTAATGGTGCCGTGCAAAGATGTTTTTCACGCCCCAAAAAAACAGAAATAATTCCTTCCAAACCAAACATCCAGAATAACCTTTATATGGGATACACATATGTTGAACAATTGGGGGAAAAAATTAACCTTATATTGGGGATGTATCCAAAGATACCCCAAAGTACCTAATTTTGGTTAGCAGATTAGACAACCAATACAACTTAGTATTTTGTAGCCAAAAATATATTTCCGTTGAGAAATGTTTCCGAAATCCATAAAATACAGTATATTGTGATATGAAGATTTACCACACAATGGAATTCCATAATATCAAATTAGAGCAAATTCGGTTTATCGACATGTCTGAAATTCTTTAAATACCGAAAATGTTCGTTACTTATAAACACCACATACTTTTTAAGTGAAAAGTAACCTTTCCAGGCCACGTCTTCTTGGAGAAAACATGTATGCCATAAAATTAAACTTTTATAATATTGTTTGCAGCAGAACAGACAAAAGACAGGTGTTGTCTTAGAACCGAACCTATATGCAAAATGTCGCGGTGATAAGTCTTTAACTGCGGCCTGTAATGTGTTTACAAATTATAATGGACAGTCGCGGACACACAATAAAGAAACTGACAAAAAAATTGGATAGTAAGAAGATTTTGAAGATTTGGTGTACCTCTCATATAATGGGTCTTGAAATTTAACCAATTTAATGAAAAGTGGCTGTTTACGTCTACTTGGGTCTATAAAGCAACATAAGAACAAGTAAAAAGTGTCAGTCGGTGTTTGCCGACAGATATATACCTTCAACCTATGATTTGCTGAGGTCTTCGGAATTACACACAGCTTTTATTATTCGCTTTATAATAAGTATATGTTTTTATCACGGATGCTTATGATTTAATGTTGATCCAATCAGTTATTCAATTTTGACCCTTTGTGAGGGAGGTACCTGAAGGAATAGACCGATATTCCCATCTTCGAACTTGAACTAAGTTTGGAAGAAATAATAAGATGTGCAAAGTTTGGATGAAATCGATTACTCCCTTCGAGAATTATAGTGCGCACCAGCATTCCAGACAGACGGACATTTGTCGACTCCAAATTTTCTGAAAAGTTGTGCAAAATGTTGTAGAAACATTCAGTGTTAATCGGACAAACATTAGGAGTTTGATGCGCCATTTACATAAAATCGGTCGAAAATATATATGGGAGCTATATCAAAATTTAAACCGATTTTGAGGAAACTTAGCACACATAATTCCAGACTCATTTCAGTACGCTATGCAAATTTCGTGCAAATCGTATGAAATATAGTGGCTTCGGTGCACCATCTACATAAAAAAAATTGTCGAAAATATATATGGGAGCCATATCGAAAACTGAACCGATTTACAGGAAACTTAGCACATAAATGGGAGCTATATCTAAATCTGAACCGATTTTCACAAATTTAAATAGGGTTCGTCCTTGGGCCAATCAAATCAGTTGCACCAAATTTCATCCAAATCGGATTATAAATGCGACCTGTACTTTGTTTACAATTTAACACCAACATACATTTGAGTGTTTTCTATAAATTCTTATTCTCTGAGGTACTTGGTTTTGAACACATTTCATCAATTCGACTTGGATCGATAATTTTTTGTCGCTTTACAAACTTTTGGGCAATATCCTCACAATTTATTAATTTCGAATGTTCCGATACAACAAAGGGTATCTTTATTCGAAAACCGACAAAAATATGTCTTAAAATATACCATAACAAATCGTAGCGTTATGTCGGTGTTAGGACGTTGGTCTAACACTTATCTAATATCAGTTTCCTGTTCTTTCTTTAAATATGTATTTGTATGTTTTAATTGTCTTTTTTACATTTGAAGCTCCTCCCAAAAATTTTCAACTCATATTTTATTATTAAACTCGTGTTATTTTTTTGTAATATTAACCAAATTTCTTTAATGTCATTGTGCTAATTTAATTTTCGAACTACTTTAATGGCACACATAAGTATGAGTTCTTCAGCAAATAGTCGTTCTAAGATGTGAACTCAACGCATTACTTTTAGACAAAGTTAAACTCTCTAATAATAAAATGTATTATTCTTGGGTTTTACTAATTCCTACATTTGTTTACTCATTCTCATTCTCATCACTACTCAATACTCACTGCCCGTTTTATTGGCATTCATTTCCATTATTTTCTTTACTCTCTGTTAACACTTAATTTATATTAGCATGCCTCCATCCATTTTACGTTCCTCGGAAATGTTGTTGGCTATTTATCCAATCATCTGCTTACTTGTCTCGACACACTGCATTGCAGCCAATCATCGTCATGAGTGTTATGCTCATTCACTCATACCAACTCATATATCGTTGAGAGTTGGAGTGTGCGTGCGTCGGTGGAATGAGTGCTTGTGTGCAGCATCTTTGAGACATAAATCGTCTTCTTGAATGGAAAAATATTTGTGGGCAAGTGTTTGTTAAGCATGAAATTGTTGACTAATGAATTGTATAATGGCGCCATTGTATATAATGCGATTTTTGTTGTATTTATGAGGTATAATTTATTATTATTAGGAAGAATTTTGTACAAACACATATAGATTTTTAGTGAGATGTATTGTATGTAGAAGAGAAGTATGTTTTTAGTTTATATGTTTATGAAAATTAATTGACAAAATGTTAATTTATAAAATTAGTATTGTTTTTTATTATTTTTAATATAAATATATAAAGAAGTCTGCCATTAAAGCATGTAATTTGTTGACTTTTTATAATACTGCCCTAACAACTAAGATATTAAAGTTTAATTTTCAAATCTTTCAAACTCCCACAAAAATGGTCCAAATTGAACAGACGACATTTGTTTTAAAAAAAGATAATTTTAAAAGGTTTCGCTTCTTTTTGAAAAAATATAAAAAGGATTGTAATATTTATACATGAATATACATTTTTCACCATAACTTTGCGTTTACAAGTGATAGAACAGTCGAAGACAATTAGGCTCATTTCCGAGATTCTCTAACGTTTCTTCCGATTATTTTCCGAGTAATCTGCACGTACTCTGAAGGGAATTTAACTCTGTAGGCTTTTTACAAAAGCAAAAAAAAAAAACACATTTCATCTTCGATACTCTCTAGTTATGGAAGAAAATTCGGTTCGTTAAAGGAAAGATGAAATAAAAGCCCCCATTCCTATATGCTTAATTTCTTTATATAAATAGAAAACATAAGTGCTTGTGTTTATTTTGCAGAATTTCGATTCAAATATCCGATAAATGTCAGATTTTTTTTCGATTTTTGAAAGTATTCAGATTTCCTTCCGAATTACGGATCAAACACCTAATAAATTTACGCATTTCGGATCATACACCCGGTAATTTCCGAATTTCAGATAAATTGCACGATTTTTAGAACTTCTGAAAAAGTATGTATCGAATGTTCCTTTAGAGTTTATCCGAAATTGTAAAATTGTCTACCAAAAAAAAAAAAAAAAAAATGTTTGTAAACACGAGGCAAAAGGTTGGTATGACATCAATAAACTAAATTTAGCATCACATTTTCCATTAATTTTTGCATTTATTCTATTATTCGTTAAATTTATAAATTAAATTAAATTAAATTACATATTTCACTGATTTTTCCTATAGTTATTTGGTGTTCATTTTTATGAGCATTTGGATTTAGAGACATATGGATTAGAGACACTTCCACTTGCAATTGGGTTTAATCAGATAAATTGGTCTGTATAGAGACCACAGGCCTTTATAAAGATAAATTGCTCTATAAAGAGACCGATTGCAATGTATAGATGCCCCATGTCCAGATGTCTTTATAAGGAACAATAGAGAGGCATGATAACTCCTCACTAGAACATCGGAATCGGCATAAACAAGGATTATTGACTTCGGTCAAAAATTACCAAAATGGTGGATCTTTGAAAAATATTTTTGAAAAATCGACTACTTTTGACCACAAACCAATTATTTTGAAATTTTCACTAGAAATGTGATGGGGAAATTAGTTTAGGTTCGAATTACATTTTTTGAAACCGAAAATGGGGGGAGGATCCTCTTCGCAGGAAAATGTCACACTTTTTATAATTTTAATTTGTTAAATTTTAAATAATATATTTTAAACGGAATAGCAAACTGTTTTCATAAATTCACCCATAGTTCTGTATTGTGCATTTTATTTTTGAGATGTAAAACTGTACTTATTTTTTGGAATTTGATGTCAACAACTGTCCAACATTTTATAAACAATTCAATTGTTTTATAAACAAGTCGACAAGGATTCATATCCTTGTCATTTTTATTCTATGCAGTGGCAACAACAACAAAACTCTCTAAATTTGTGACATTTACTTATTACTCAAAAGAAAAAAACAAAACACAAGACTTAGCTTCTAATTAATCCCTTGAACGACTCAAATTTAATTTAAATGGCACTTGTTGACTTCTTGTGGCTACGACAACAAACCGCCACTGGGCTAAACGGCTAAACAACCAACCAAAATATTCGACTCAATGAGCAAAACACAAGGCCACCTTCCGATACGAATGTGCGCACACATGGCGCTCTTATGGCAACTCACTCGTTTAGCCATGGGGTGGATTTCGAATGCAGTACACGGCATTGCTGGTGCGGGGCAGAGAGTGGTTAAAAATAGAACAACCTCTTCGGTATGTGGAGGAAAATCTACATTTCATATGGCATTTCTGGCTCAAGAGTATGAAATGTTGAGTGTTTTCCACAGGGAGCCTGATCGCTATTTAAACTGTTCGGGGTCAGAGAAAAATCAACAATCGCAGTGTTCTCCTTGTGAAGTGAAGTTCGTTCACGGAACAACAATTTGGATAAACAAAAAAAAAAAAGACAATTTTAATAATTTAAACAAAACAAAAAAACATTAAAACAAAATGTTAACAAACATGGAAAGTGCAAACAGTGCCATATCCGGTATCGGTAAAGTGCTTACCACTCCCTTTTCGATCAATGACATTTTGACACGCAATCACGCCAACGAAAGACGTCTTTCACGTACCGATTCGGAATTGGAGTTGTCCGCCGTGAATATGCGAAGTGAAGAGTCGCGCTATAAATGCAATCTATCGATGTCGGATAATGTTTCAAATCCCAGTCCATCGGATATAAAAATTGAGTCGTCAATGAAATCCAGTAGTGGATACCGATCACATTTCTATGCAACAGCCGCTGGCAGTTTGGATAACAACAACCATGCGGATTATATGTCACACAAGTTGGGCTACTTTGGGGCAGCGGCGGCTGCTTTGGCCGGTGGACGTTCTGAATGTCCATTGGATATGAGACGTTGTGCTAGCAATGATTCCGGTAAGTTGAAATCGCCGAAAAAAGAAAAATAAAAAGGAAGCCATAATCGGATTCCGTTTTTTTCTCAAACAATGTTGACAGTATACTTATGATTTGTTTTCTTTTTTTCTATTTTAGATTGCGACTCGCCACCTCCATCTTCGGGCAATGCCAGTGGCCATTATACATCACCTGGAAATGATGGCTCGTTGTCACCTCTTCAAGATGACATGCAATCTGGAAGCATGGCCCGCAAGAAGCGTTCTCGTGCAGCCTTCAGTCATGCTCAGGTTTTTGAATTGGAACGTCGCTTTGCCCAACAACGTTATTTAAGTGGCCCTGAACGTTCCGAATTGGCAAAAACTCTGCGTTTGACTGAAACCCAAGTTAAAATTTGGTTCCAAAATCGCCGTTACAAGACCAAGCGTAAGCAAATCCAACAACACGAAGCTGCTCTAATGAATGTCGCTGCCAGCAAACGCGTTCCCGTACAAGTTTTGGTTAGGGAGGATGGTACCACCGCCTATGCTCATATGTTTCCTCATGCCGCTGCTGCCGCCGCTTACCCACACGGTTTGGATCCAACGCTATTGAATATATACCGCCATCAATTACAAATGGCCTATGGTGTCGGAGTACCACAAATGCCATTCCCCTACTTCCCCTATCCACATGCAGCACCAAATGGAAAAATTCCTCAACCCATTCCACCACCATCCGGCGGTCATGGTGTCCCCTCGCAGCCACTGAATAACTCAACCAGCCATTATGTGAATCATTCGTCAGCATCTTCATCACCGACCCACCTAAATCACTGCACACCGAGCTCAAGTCCCAGTGGCAACAACAGCCACTCCACCCCCAACAATACTTCCGCCGTCAAATACGAATTGTCATCCATGGACCAAGATAGTGAAACTCAATCGGGGTCCGAAGATTGTGAAGAAAATGTTGAAATCGATTAGAGAGGGATGCCAATCGAAGAGGGCTAGTAAAGTGAAATGGCAATGACATTTGTATTTGCATGTGATAGAAAAAGTTTTAATTTTATTTTGTAAATTGTTTTAGTTTTATTTTCCATTGTAATTTGTTAAGATTAGTGAAATTGTTTTTTTAAGGGAACCAACGTTCCTTGTTTACAGCTAAAGGAAAAAATCACCAAAGATTAGTCATGTAAGGTTTCGTTAAGTATTCAAACGCTGGCTTCGGTGTTTGTGAAAATGCAGTATTAGTTTATGTTTTTATTAGTATGTCATAGGATAGATATGTAAGAACAAAAAGTGTTAAAAGAAAAACAAAAGAAAAAACACGATTGAATTAAAACAACAATAAATATTGAAATCGAACATTAAATCCAATATGATTTTTATTGCAAGTTGCTTAACGTAACCATCAAGGTTATCGGAAGGAATGGATCCTTGGGTTCCATCTTCGGAGTTGATTTATGTTTGTAAAAAATATTACAATGTGAAATATATTTATTTATTTTTTTAATTTTGACTCCAAAGAGCGCCTAAATTAAAAAAAAAAAATTAGGAGTAGAGTGATGGATTCGGTGTGCGGCCTTAATCACAATTTTTGATAAAAAAAATGAATCTTCTGCCAACATGCCAAGATAATTGAAATTTATTGACCAACCTGAATATGTTTCTCAGTGAAACAAATCAAGATGATAAAGCCAGTTTGTCCTTTAGGTTTGGTAAATATATTTTAGGTTGAGCCAAGTTTTGGTCAACGTGCTAACTTTTTGGTATTTCCTTCGCATAATATTACAAGTTTTTTCTTCAGCTAAATGTAGGTACCAGAAGGTGTGGTCTGAAGATGTCTAAAGACATAATTCGATAATACACATTTTCTTTTAGTGAAGTGTCCGCTACTTCGTATGCGGATATGGAATATTCTTTTGTATTCCATAAATAATATTTTTTGTATGGAACTCGTGAATAGTGTATAATTTTTTGTACTATTATTCCGAATTCCACCTCTAGTCAAGTTTATTACCATTTAGCACTCTTCATACACATAAGAACTAATTTTCGCAATTTTTTTCTTATACGCAATTTCAATGATATTTATTTTAGGAAAATACCTGCAAGTTCCATATTTACTACCATTCAGCACTTTTCGAACACATAAGTACACATTTTCAAGAGTACTTCCATATATCAATCGTATCACTAAATTTAGTACCATTTAGTACACATTCTAAATGCGATCAATTCTACATTCGCGATCAATTCTGCATTCGAACAGTAACTTTAATCTCAAATTTAAGAATTCCAGTACTATCAGTTCACCCAAAAACAGATTGCATAATACTTGGTACCATTTATTACACAATGCCATCACATCTCAATTCTACAAATTTTATAATAATAAAAGGTAACAGCAAGTGTTGTTGTACAAAAATTTTGATTTTTAAAAACATAATTTGTCAAATTCATATTGACACATTTAGTACACAAATCACATCTGCAATTTACCTTTTATAATTGTACCCAAATCCAAGTTTTATTAAATTTAGTGCCGTTAGTACGTTTCGTACATAAGAATGATTTTCTAAAGCAGTCTCAATAGCTCAATCTTAGACTTCAACATTAACCTAAATTCCAAAGGCTAGGTTTTCAGATGTATCTGTTCACCAAAAATTAAATTGTACTTACTGTACAATGTTCGTACAAAAAAGTACGAATTTCCGGTAAACTTAATTGAAATTTCAGGTTTCCTTATATATCCGTTCAAACAAATTTCACACAAAAACGAATGTAAAATATTTTGTACCATTTAGTACTATTTGTTCCCATAAGCACGAATTTACTAAACTACCTCAATCCTACACCCCAAACATAATTTGAATTCCAAAATTCTGGAGTCCCGCTCTATCCGTTCATACATAATCAAGTTGTACCAAATTTAGTACCATTTAGTACACATACATACTATACTTCCATATCTCAATTCTATACTCTAACAGCTATCATAATTTCCAGCTCTCTCCAACTTTCTTTTTTTATACGCAATGCGTATTTGGTTAACATTCATTTATTTCACTTTTAAGGTGAATAAAATCGTACGCATGAATTAAAAATAATTTTATTAGTTTCAAAGTTTTTAACAGGATTGTACTGTAAATCAAATCGAAAAACTTTCTTGAAGTATCTTTGTTTTTTGTCAAAAAATCCATTTTATTTTTTGAATATAGAAAAATAAATTTTTCACAGAGAAATGGTCTTTGGTAGTTCAGCGTTAGTCGGTGATTTAGTAAGTATTGAAGTTTAACATATTTCTAATTATGTCAATATCTGTTATTTCATTTTTTTCAGCAATCAAATTCATACATGGAAGAATTATGCAAAGCAATACATCCCGATATGGATTTCGGAACAACGTGCGTCAATTGGTTCCGTAATGCCACAACGCATTGCACACATTTAATGGTCAATTTTAAGGAACCAGTTTTCTCCATGTGGCATTTATTCAAGGCATTCATTTTTCCAGAAATAAATACGGAATTGATTTCGAATCAAATACCAATGCGATTCCATCCCAAGCATTTAACCCTTGATGATTGCCAATTGCTGTTTATAGACATTGTCGAGGATTATGTCCAGAGAGCGCCGCGTTATGCAGCCGAAGCGAAAACAATTGGCATATTGTGGAAAATAGTATATGGCGTTGTCGGTATTATGTTCATGTGCTCGTTGCTGTTGTTTGTAAAATATCTACATGGCAAATATGCTTCACGCAAAGCAGTGATGAATTTTCAACATTCATCACAGAAGTCGCTAGATCCTTCAAAAAACTGTATGCAGGCCATTGCAAAACTAAGTTTAAATGTTGCCAAATTGGAATTGCGTAAGTTACGTGTACTTCCAATAGCCCAACCCGATGATCTTATTGCAACCGATGGTTCACCTGTATTGGTGATAAAAATTAAATCGAAATGTGAACTTTTTGGATCTACGCAAAATACTGTGGATGCCGAATGTAGATTGTATCGTGTATTCCGCCATGATGGCAAAATTATAGGAGAATACAAAATACAGTCCATTGTAAAAGCTTTAGAATTTTTGGGAAATTCTACAAGGAAATTAAGGTCGTTGATGGTTTTTGAAGACGAAGATGATGCAATCATGGAAAAAGACGAAGATAAACCTATAGACATTTGTGTGGAAGAAATGAGTCCAAGGAAGAGTAATAGTTCACAAATACCCAAAAAATTAAAATCTCCAACCACCAAAAGTAAGAGAACCACATTTTCAGCACCAATTACATCTGGTGTGGAGAATCTGGGTAGAAATTCGCCACGGAAATTCTCTATAGGAAAGACTACTGCTACTACTTTTCAAAAAAACTCACCAAGGAATTTGAAACGGTAAATACTATTTAGAATAAGTTTATTTTGACATGTAAGATGATGTTTGAGGGTTTTATTGTGAAAATTTTATACTTTTTGTTATATTTTATGTACTTGATTTAATAAAATTGTTGGATGACGCTTTGCGTTCACATGGAACTTTTGTGAAATTGGGATATCCTAAAACTTAAAATTTTATGATAGGGGTGATTTGTATACATAAAAAGTAATCAAAATTTTGAAAATATAGTTCTAATTTCAACTTGAAAAGCGCAAATTCTTCCTTTGTGGGGTTGATTATGGATCTTCGTGAAGTTTTGGGGTGGAATCACTTTCTGAGCCGATTCAAAAATAAGGTTCTCACAGGACCTCATATATATACCCGTCCGCCAACTTTCCATACAGGTTTTAAATGTGGCGAGATTTTTAACAGACCGTTTATCGGAAATGTTAGAATCCACGTAGGTTGTCAAAGGACCTTTACCATATTTCATATGGATGAGGATTTATCTTAATAATGTTGCAATTTGTCGTTTATTAAAATACTAAAATATGCCCTCTACTTCGTTAGCGAATGTTTTCACAGAAAACTGCATATGTCAGAAGATTTAATCAACCTACACTAATATCCATTTAACTGGGATTTAAGAAATATTAGATCGGCAGGGTCGAAATAAACATAAATGAATCCAGGTCTTACAAAGGCCTAGATTCAAAGGCCTTATAAAGGTCTTAAATGAATCAACGCCTTATATAGGGCCGGAAAAAATAATCTTAAATATATCCATGCCTTATACAGTTTAGAAAAAAATCCTTAATGAATCCACGCCTTATATAGGACCGAAAAATAATCTTAAATAAATTCTCGCCCTATATAAACCTTGGTACGCCAAATTCAAATCGTACCATATTTAGTACCTTTTAATATTTAAATATAGCTGTATGAATGCTTGCCATAAGATCGTACGGCCGTTAAGGGAAACTACCTGGAAGTTTTTTTTGCCGAAAACAAACTCTCTTCCTAAACCTGAAGTCACAGATGAAAGGAATAAGTTTACCTATGATTGGAAACCCCGAAGCAGGAGCTGTTTGATTAAACACGTTTTAAAAGAGTTTCCATGATTGGAAAGAAGGGAACATCGGCATAACTGCATCTGAGGGGTTATACCTTAAATTGTACAATATAGTAATTGATGGTTCTTGTTTTGATCGAATTTCATATTGACTTCAACTAAAAATATTTATTTGAATATTTCAACGTATTCATGTAATAAATTACCAACAAGAATCACCCGAATTGTCTTAAATTCCATAATTTTGTTCTCATCATTTCTATTGTGGCTCAAGGAACCTAATCCGAAGGATTGTTGCATATCTGTTTCCTAATATATGTATGTATGTCCATAGGTACGAGTGTTACCCTGCATTGGATGCATGTTTATGAACCGACTATTAGGAGATTTTAATATTTGCTGATTTGTCTGGTATTTGCACTGCAAAATGTTTATGTTTGTTTAGATAACTTGTTGTGATTTATGGAGAGAAAATGTGCGTGCGTGTGTGAGTTTATTCACACAACAAACTAAATAACAACAAATGTTGTAGTCT